GATTTTATGCTATGCTAATTAAAAGTAGTAAAGAAGATAACACATTGTAATGCATACTTAACCCTGGAGAACCCATGGGGTCAAATTTGACCCCATGGTTTCCCTAGTAAACCAGTGGGGTCGGCTCTGACCCCATGGGTTCTCCAGGGTTAAACATGTAAAAGAAACCGTTATATTTTGTTATTTTCACTGCAGGAAACAGCTCGTGAAAGAGGTCAGGCCTGTTTATAAACAGCTGATTCTGAGAATGGGAAACATATAAAGGCAACTGGGAGGAATCCAAGGACACTGCGTACGAGAAGTGATAGGAGATGGGGTGAAACAAGGGGAAACAAACAGGGCAAAGATAGCAATGGTAAAAACATCTGCCTTTGGAGAACACAGACTTTAGATTAAATATTTACAAACTGCAGAACCAACAGTAAATATTTGTGGGTAAATAAACACACACACACACACACATTTGAAGAGTCAACCCACAGGTAACATTTAAATCTTTCTGGAGTTTGAGTAGAGAATACTATGAGACCTAACATGACAGACAGCAACAAACAAACATTATGTTGCACTGGAGGAGAGTAGTAATTGAGACACATCAACAATAAGATTCCTTACCGTGGTCACTATTCAAGTGGTCATTTTCTCATAGATTTCCATAAAGTCAGGATTCATATTTAATCTAGAGCATCCTCTTTATAGCACGAGGCTGTGACCACTGAAAGCCTTTCATCTGTCCTTTACCATCCATTTCATTTTGTACAATCCACTCTTCCAAGTTTGTGTGGTTTATCCATCTGACCAGGTGAATCTTCGTGCACAATCTTTTTAATTTATCACCACACTGTGTTTATGTGCTGAAAGAGAAATTATTTCCTTATTAAAACCGATTCTGAAATACGATTTCACTAATAACTGTGGCAGTTTGTCTTGACATGTGTAATCTCCACATTTTGACTTTTATGTCAAAATTTTGAGTCTATTTTCAAAATGGTCAATAATATTTTTTTTTCTTAAATTGTACCCCGAGCTGAATTTGTGGTTATATTAACAAAATTTCTGGGTGGTGTATTGGTTTGTGCTTTATTTTGGGGAAATACTTATATTGTTATACATCTTAGTGTCATATTAGTCTAATCTTCAGCACTAAATAGCTTTTATGTGTGCCTGTTGCACCGACACCGTTTATGAAGACAGCTTGTGAATCAAGGTAACTAGAATGAGCTGCTAAATTAGCACTCCATCATGTTGTCCAAGTATGCAAACTTCTGGCTCCAAAACACTAACATGACCAAAACGACACAAGCTTATGCTTCAAACTGCATAGCATGAATCAAATTAGTGTTTTGTTGGAATTGATTTCTTTTACTCTATTTGTGCATTGTGCAGGGTGTGCAGCAGAATACACACTCGTGTACAGACTGGAGTCAGGGTGCCCTGGAAAAGTACTCGAGGCTGTAAACTCTGGTGTGTGTGTGTAGGGAGGAGTTTTCTCTCCATCTCTCCACAGGGAGATGCCCACTGCAGGAGATGTATGATGAGCGAGAGCCAGACCAAATCCCAAATAAGGGAAAACCCAAGTATAAACCACAGCTACAGTACACCCCAACTTTTTAACCAATCATATTAATATTCTGTTTGTGTGACTCATGATAAAAGTGTTTACTGCTTGGGTGCAGTGACCTTTGTCCGTTTGGCTCACTAAACAGAGGAAGAGACACAGCAGCCATCTTAATTTGAACCTTTACCCGCCTAATAAATTTCGAAAACTTATACTTTGACTTTACTCATCTTCTCTCAAAATAAAAGGACCCCACAGTTTTCTCTGTGGTTACTTACATATATCCTTTTATAATGTGATCTACAGGAGTTTTTCTCTGCTGGCCTTTAGAAAGAACACAGCAATCGATAGTATCAATACCAATGCAGGTATTGGTATCGGATCAATAATAGCAACGTACGATCAATACTTTATTTCTATCCTCCAAGTTCAGTCTGTAGCCCACTGAATGAAAACACACTATGAAAACTGTCTGAACCTTTTTGTGTTGACTGTCTCATGTTAATAGTCTTTTGCACATTTAAACAACAGAAATGGGTCAATTTTTGACTTTCAGGCATATTTACACACCAGATCTCCAAAAAGGTGTTTTTTGTCGTGTTAACTAATTTAAGTGCAATGTAAAAATCCCAGTGAGTTAGGGATCATTAAAATATGTTCAGAATAATGATGATTAATAAGTCATGACACACTCCATAATCTCCCCAACAAAGCTGCCCTTCTTATGTTAAAAGTATGTGTATATGTGCACATGTGTATTGGCATCAGCAGTCCTGGGACTGTATTTGATATCAGATCAATACCAAAACTTGCAGTATCTCACAGCACTATAATGCATATGGTTTGAGGAACTTCCACACAGCTTTTATAACATTTTCTATAAGAGAAACGTTTTTTGTCCAGATGGGATGGTGTCAAATGGCCCAATCATGATTAGCATGATTATTTATAAAAATTCAGATTAAAGATTTAGATGTTAATTTTATGTACATGCCTCGTAGTGAAGTTGACACGCATGCTTAAGCAATAATTGACCAATAAAAACTTGCGATTTGTTATTTTCACTGCAGAAAACAGCTTGTGAAAGAGGTCAGGTGTGTTTACAAACAGAGCTGATTCTGAGAATGGGAAACACATAAAAGCACTGGGAGGAATCCAAGACAACTTACGTATGAAAAGTGAAAGGAGATAGTGGTGAAATGTTGAAAACATTTGCCAAGG